TCGTGGAAAAATAAGACATCCCCTGTAAATAAGACCTAGCGCATCTTTGGGAGCAAAAATTAATATAAGACACTGTCTTATTTTCGGGGAAACACGGTACATTGTAATCTGTCCATCCCCCCCCCCCCTGACCCTGTATCTTCCTGTGTAGGTGTTTACTTTCTTTTGCTTGCTACATCTGCGGAACTGCTCAAGGTCAACCAGCTGGAGGTGGGATGGAGTTATGGCGTTGCTTTGCTTATTATGTATCTCATGCCTGAGAACTGAACTTGTGTTTATGTTGTAGAACCGTTGTGTTCCCAAGGAATTGGGCGCTAGTTTTATCTGCATTCCCGCCAGCGGGAATTGGACTCATTGGTCCTAACCTGGTTCAAGTTCCTTTATTATGTTTCCCTTTGGGGTCTGTAGTCATTCCTAACAATTCTTGTGTTCCTGATCTAACCATCGCTTTATAATAAATTTAACTTTGGCCTTCAAACGTGGATTTATTTCGAATGCATGGGGAATCGGACACTAGATCAGCACCAGTTTCCCTCACAGGCAGGTAAGGTCTTACCCTGGCTCCAGACCAGAGCTCACCAGGAAACAAAATGGGAGCAGCAAGCCAGATTCCAGCCACTCTCAGCTGATGGGGAAGCCAGCCATTAAGCAGCTTGGAGAATTTAATTTAGCATCAAAATCGCAGGAGGTCATAGCCCCTCTGTATACTGGCTTGGTCAGGCTGCACCTTGAGTACTGTGTGCAGTTCTGGAGGCCTCACTTCAAAAAGGATGTGGACAAAATTGAGAGGGTGCAGAAGAGAGCGACAAGGATGATCAGGGGTCTGGAGATTGAGCCCTAGGAGGAAAGGCTAAGGGCCTTGGGAATGTTTAGTTTGAAGAAGAGGAGAGTGAGGGGGGACATGATTACTCTCTTTAAATATTTGAAAGGCTGTCATTTGGAGGAGGGCAAGGAGCTGTTCCAGTTGGCAGCAGAGGACAAGACCCAAAGCAACGGTTCTAAATTACATGCAGAAAGGTATCGGCTGGATATTAGGAAAAACTTTTTCAAGGTCAGAGTGGTTCAAAGGTGGAATCAGCTGCCTAGAGAGGTGGTTAGCTCCCCTTCACTGACAGCTTTCAAGAAGAGGCTGGACGAATATTTGTTAGAGATGCTTTAGGTTGGTCCTGCATTGGGCAGGGGGTTGAACTAGATGGTCTGTATGGTCCCTTCCAACTCTATGATTCTATGAAAAGGAAGGGGCCATGGAGAAGGGCCATGGCTCAGTGGTAGAGCCTCTGCTTAGCATGCAGAAGGTCTCAGGTTCAATCTCCAGCATCTCCAGTTGTAAAAATCAGGTAGGAAGTGATGTGAAAGTCCTCTTCCTGAGACTCTGGAGAGTCACTGCCAGTCTGAGTAGACAGTACTGACCTCAATGAACCAAAGGATTTGATTCGGTATAAGGCAGCTTCATGAATGTTCAAAAACAGCAATGCAAAGGTTAATGAAAGGGAGAAAGCTGGAGCAACTGCTGAACAGTTTCTATCCAATCCCAGACTTCACAACAGTTCACTCCTCTCTCTTGCAGAGCAAGGCAGTCCAGGAAACCATCACAAGAATAATATCCCCCCCTACCCCCCCAGGTATTCTCAGTGGAGTCATCACAAGCGCCTCCATCTGTTCTGTGGCACAGTACACAGTTCATTGCAGTAAGTGCAGCGGTGAAAATGACAATACCTTGCCGTAATTAGAAGTGCCAGCACTTCTTCGCCAATACCCTTCACGTCTACCACCAGCGCCGTTTCATATTTCTTCACAGTGTTGGAACATAAGGTCACCTGCCACAGGAGAAAAGTATTTTGGTTACAGGAGCAAAGTTCCTGACCACCGTGGTGCAGGAGCTGTCCACAAGCCATTTACCATTCATTCCAGTGAATTTCAACACCCACCCCAAAGAACGGCCCTCTTGCTAATCCTACGAGAAGGCAGGCACATAAAATGTAAGAAAAGCAACCTAGGGTACAAAGAGACCGGATATGTTAAAGGAAAGCAAATGACGAAGTACTGTGACTAAGGGATACTAATGAAGACCCCTCTTATGAACTCTCAAACTACTTTAGGTAAAGGTTCCCTTGCTCGAAAGCCAGTTGAATCCGACTCTAGGGTTGCGGTGCTCATCTCCGTTTCAAAGCCGAAGAGCCAGCGCTGTCCAAAGACGTTTCCAGTCCTAATCACACATGACCCATGGGCTAATTCCAATGTATGAATCCTCGTCTAAGTAAAAACCCAGACCTCAGAATGTCTTTAATGCAACCGCTGCTTGTGTGGCTCAGCAAATGAACCTGGCAATTCAAAAGGCAGCAGCAATCCCACAGCATGGATGGGGGACATAAAGGAAGGCTACTTCCACTTACGGCTAGGAATTAAGTTCAGGGACTGCAGATTTCAGTAGTAGACCACAGGCCTCTCAGCACTGGAGTATGCGCATAACGTTTAATGAGGATGTTCGCAAAAGAGTATTACTCTGTTGTAATACTCAAGGTCACCCAGAATTTCCATGGAATTCTGAATTCAAAGGATGGCTTTGCCTGCTGTTTGAGTGAGGCTCCTGGGAAGCACATTCCCACCTGAGGGATGATTCACATGTTACTAAGTCCACACGGCAGACACATGGTCTGCCAATGAGGACTTTCAGCTGATGTGCAATGTGAATTCAACCTTCCCCTCTCACCACTGTATTACTAACCTATATCAGTCCCAGGGAGCCATCACTTAACTTGATGGAGGAATTTATGTGTAGCTAGCTGTCTGTACATGTAAATTTCTGTGTAGGGGCAAATGGAAGCTCCCCAAGGCTGTTTCTGCTGGGCAAATGGCAAGGGGGAGAAGAGACTGAAGCATCCCCTCCAGGCATGCCACAGTTCCTATCCCGATCAGGCCTGCACATAAGTTCCCAGCACAGAACTCACAGAAGACTATCCTTGTGTCCACAGCAGGGACTTTATGCAATGGCGTGAATTGGCCCTTAGGGAGAGACTGGTGTGCTAAGAGAGGGAAATTTAACACAGATGGTGTCTATTGACTGGGCAGAGAAAGAGACCCGGTAGGTGGGAAGGCTTGTAAGAAGTGAGTTACAATAGCTTAGAAGAGGTGATCAGAGCCTGGACAAGAATTATTTTAGTTGCAAGAACAGAGAAGAAAGGGCCATTTTTTGAAATGTTGAAAAGGAAGAAGTGGCAGCTGAGAGCTGGAGAATACTTTTCTCTTTTGTTGCAGGTAGCTGGCTTCTAATTTGAAAAGCAGAATTGCTTTTGTTGTTTAAATTAACTTCCAGGTGGGTAATTTTGCAATCCAGTCAGGGCCCTGTGGCTGTGCCAATGGAAGGTACTATCTAACCAAGATAAATTCTGTGCATTCGGTTTGCTGTCAGCTCTGCTGCCCAGGATAAATGGCGGCTTTACTGTACCTGGATATCCATGAGCCCTTGGGAACGGATGGTGCCTTGGCTCGGTGTGATGGCAAATTCCTTGGGCCTCATGCTTCCAAACCGCACCGTTCTCCAGTCTTCCCGTGTAATGTCAGAGGCTTGAATCTGACTCTCGACACTGGGCTCACAGCCATCTCCGGGGACACGAAGGCTGAAGGTCATCGGAACAAGAGATGTGTTGCTGAGGGAGCAGGAAAGAGTGTGAGGAAAACCTGCAACAGAATATTGTCACCCAATAAGCATTAGTAGTAATAAGATCACTCGATGATGGAGCCAAAAGGATAGCCAGTCCAACCCTTCATTGTTTGTGACATCAACAACAGAAATCTGTGTGCCTTTAGGCCAACATAATTGTTTAAATATCCAGAGTCACTCAACGTGGTGAATCAACAACTCAGCCCTAGGTACATTAAGTTCCTAAGGGCAAGTCATGTATGGTTTAAAATGGATAGAGGGCTTCTTAAATTATGCTTTTATGTTACATAGTAAGGCTCATGTATCAGTCAGCTGACAATCAGAAGTAAATCCAAACAACAAGGGAAAAAGACTAGTGTCACAGGAGTCCCAAATATACAAATTCCACTAGTAGAAAACACCATCAAAGATTGCCAAAACAATATATCAAATAATTATAAAGTTGGTGGTGTCACAACAACAACATTTATGCATAATGCATAATAAGGCATAAACAATATTTCCTCCTTTGAAGATAAGAGATAAAGTCCATGTACTCGGTGTAACGTGATAACTTGATAGGAGGAGTCCACATAGTCATAACATATTCCAAACAGCCTTTGCAAAGACACCCATTCTAGATATTTGGAAGATGCGTTTCCTTCATATCCAGAGTCACTCAACGTGGTGAATCAACAACTCAGCCCTAGGTACATTAAGTTCCTAAGGGCAAGTCATGTATGGTTTAAAATGGATAGAGGGCTTCTTAAATTATGCTTTTATGTTACATAGTAAGGCTCATGTATCAGTCAGCTGACAATCAGAAGTAAATCTAAACAACAAGGGAAAAAGACTAGTGTCACAGGAGTCCCAAATATACAAATTCCACTAGTAGAAACACCATCAAAGATTGCCAAAACAATATATCAAATAATTATAAAGTTGGTGGTGTCACAACAACATTTATGCATAATGTAACTATAATAAGGCATAAACAATATTTCCTCCTTTCAAGATAAGAGATAAAGTCCATGTACTCGGTGTAACGTGATAACTTGATAGGAGGAGTCCACATAGTCATAACATATTCCAAACAGCCTTTGCAAAGACACCCATTCTAGATATTTGGAAGATGCGTTTCCTTCAACTTCTTCAGTTTGCCGCCTGTGTAAGTGGAATTTACACAAATGCACATATGAAAAACAGAATTGTTTAAAAAAACATGTTATGACTATGTGCACGCCTCCTATCAAGTTATCAAGTTACACTGAGTACATGGACTTTATGTCTTATCTTCAAAGGAGGAAATGTTGTATCTTATGCCTTATTATAGTTACAGTATGCATAAATGTTGTTGTGACACCATCAACTTTATAATTGTTTAATATATTGTTTTGGCAATATTTCATAGTGTTTTCTACTAGTAGAATTTGTATATTTGGGACAATCAGAAGTAGGCAAACATTTCTTTAAAAATGCCTTCCAACTTGGGTCCTACTATGGTGAGTAGAAGGTCTGAACATGAGCAAAACTGAGCTCTCCCAGGAGAAATTCTACAGGCTTGCCCAAGTTTCCTTTAGTTTCCTACATCTTTTAGAGAGTATGGCCAGTGTAAATTGCAAGTATGAGAGAATTATACTTGGCAAAAACATTAGTTCTAGTTCAATATATGACAGCTGTTTTTTAAAACTTTTTTTTTAAAAAATAGAATATTTACAAACACACCTAGGATTGCCAACCTCCAGGTGGCAACTGGAGATCTCCTAGAATACAGTTGATCTCCAGATGACCAAGATCAGTTCCCCTGGAGAAAATGGCTGCTTTGGAGGGTGGACTCTACAGCATTGTCCCCCACTGAGGTCTCTCCCCTCTCCAAACTCTACCATCCCCAAAATCTCCAGGTATTTCCCAACCCAGAACTGGCAACCCTATCTCAGTTCCATATTTTTAAAAAATAGATAATTCATAATACAACATTAATTCTAGTATTCTAGTTTATTATTTGATTTAGAATGTCCAAGTCCTTAATCATTTTTTCACCTTAGGATCAAATCCAATTTAGTATTTCACTCTTTGCCAATTCAGCTGGCAAGTTTTGGTTCTAAAAAGCAAGGAAAGGAGTCTATCATTGCCTGTATAGAGTCTGTGCATTAAGCTTCTCATGTCTGTCAGCTTTTAACATAGTGATTTTGTCCATTAACATGATGTCTCATATATTACATAGCCAATTTTCTAAATTAGGTACTTGTTCTTGCTTCCAGTATTTCGCTAAAAGGACACCAGCATTTTGCCATATTAAGTACCACTTAGGGAAAGCCATTTCATTAAAGCCCAGCAGACATATTAAAAGCAACAAAGGAAATGAGGAACTGTTGCCATACTGAAAGATAATTAGCCAGCATTAATCACAAGGCCATCAAAACATGTCTGGGTTTTCTCTCAGCCAACTTTTCAGATCAGCCAAAGATGCCCTGTTATGTATTTCATCCTAACACGTGACAAAATTGTCTGATACCAAGAGCAACAACTCAAACACTCAAACACACTTCTATCAATGTACCAAGGTAGACCTGATGTGGATACTTCCTTTTGTCTGCCCTGAACCCAGTAGTAATTCACCAAGGTCATCATCAAATACTTTTCTTCATTTGTTAGTCTCACCTGCCTCTAGTTCTCCCCACTGAAATACTTATCTTAGAATACCTGTCATTTGTCCTCCTTCAAATCCTGCCCCAAAACCCACTTCTACCCCAAAACCACAGCCTCAGTTTGCCCACACCTTCTGCCACCCAAATTTAGCCCTCCATATCACATCCTTTCCCCTTTTGTACTCAATTACGATTTGTCCATCCAGCGTGTGCTGTAAGTCATCTGGACATGTTTAAAGGAAATATCACTAGAAGGACAAACAAGAAGGGATCCCCACTGTAAGCAATTAATCCTTAAAGAAAATCCAGCACACAAATACTGTTCTAAATGGCATAGACTTACCAAAGGAGACATCCCCAAAGTTGAGGGATGGGACGTTGAAATGAAATGTGGGTCCAATAACACAGCCACTGGAAGGAAAACAGAAATAAGTAAGGATGTGAATGCTTAAAGATGTACTTAACAATGGTGTTTCCTAGACTGCAGCCACCTTCTGGATTTTTGTTGGTGTTGTGGCAGTTCCAGTGATTGTACTATTGGTGCAATCAATACATATTTACATGTTTTCTTCATTTTTTCCCTGTCAGTGTTCCATCTGTTCACATTCACATTGTGGATAGGTTTTCTGTTTTTGTTGCTGTTGTTTTGCACATGTGCTGAAGAACTGCAGTGCTTCACCAGCCTCAAGGGGCTGAGAAATCCCCTTATGTGTATGCCGTAAGTCAGACTGTGCTGAGTGATGGCTCCGATTTCTCATATGGAGAGCTACCTGCTAGCCCTCAGCCAGTAATTGAGCAGCTGGCTGCAGCTGGCTCTGAGCCAGAAGGAGAACAAGAGATCAGGTTACCAGCTGATCAGGAGTCACAACCTACAGATAAAACCAAGCCAACACCTTGTAGTTCTGAAGAAGTAAACAAGTCTTCAGAAGCCCACAGTCCACTTAGCTCACCCACACCTTTGCAGTGCTGATACTGTCAGACATGCTTAGAGTTGCAAGAAAGGCGAAGTGTAAGACTCATGGCCCATCATCAGCTGTCAATTGAAGAGACTGCCATGGAATAGCCGGGGAGTTTAGCTCATTAAGACTTGGCTATAAAGTACAACAGGAGAAGCAGCAGTTTGTGGATGCAACAAGTACACTTTGCTACTGGGCCACCAACCATGCTGCTAACGGACCTCTACAACTTTGAACCTCAGACTGGACCTGACAACTGGCTTTTCTGGAACCCCTGACCTTGGACTGGACTTGGACTTGCTGCCTGGAACTCCTTGACAGTAGACTGGACTTTGGTAAACCTGATCTCTAGAACCCCTGACTTTTGGACAGGACTTTGGTTAGTCTTGGCAACCTTGCCTGTGACCCGCCGTGCTGGACCCCAGCCCGTGCCTTCTGGGGAAGCTACATTAGTATAGTGTACATTCCCAGCCCACCACACCACACCTGAGAGTTGTACCTGGTGTACATCTCACTCCTTTTCGGTTGCTGCTTGTCCTGCATTTGAGTGTTCCCTCTCATTGCCCCCTCCCAAATTTGTATTCCTTTCCCTGACTTGCCTCAGTACACAATTAACAACAGCCTTTCTGGGTGGGTTTGGGTGACAATCCATGAGATAGGAAAAACTGTTCACATTTTGAGCATGAGGTTATCTTGCTAACTCATTCCGCAATGGGGGGGGGGGGGAAATACAGGAAAACTGCTTTAGGAAAGAACAGAGGAAAAAGCAGGACAGCATAGGGATGTTAGCGAAGTTGTCTGGATACAAGAAAAAACTTGGTAATATAGGGGAGTGAAAATGGAACATTAGGGCAATCTGGAAAATGCCAATGTGACCCAGAGAAAATGGCCTTCACTGATCCTCTGTGCTACTTTTGGAATGGAGTAGCCTTCCAGAGCAGGTCCAGAAGATCCCTTCACTTGCTATTTTTAGAAAGGTGTGTAAGGCAGTTTTATTTCAGGGAGCATTTGGCGGGAGGTGAACAGTTTTGGTGGATTTGGCTGCATTCTTTTTAATTCTGAGAGAGTTGTTCTAAATCTGTGTTTTTTAATCTGTGCTTTTAAAATGCTATTTGTTTTAAATCTCCACAGCCACACCCCTGCACTCACCAGCTCCAGAGGAGATGTCAGCAGGGGATGGCCTTGCTCAGGCCCTGCTGAATCACACAGCCCAGCCAGAGGTGATGGGGAATGGAAAATGGGCGAGGCCATGCCCCAGAATGCACCACCAGCAGCCACAACCTGAAAGCGTGCCTCAGAACAGAGATGGGACTCAGGCACCAGGCTACACCTGGGAACAGGCCAGAAGAGGAGGCCAGCAGCAGCTGGGTCCTCCCTAGGGCCTACCTAAGACAGGCAGAGCAGTCAATTAAAACCTGAGGGGAGGGGAGAGGGCAGGAGAAATGAGGTCCCGGAGGCCAGTGGCCCAGATTCCCTTCACTCGCCATGAGCCTGCCCCTGAAGAGAAGTCATTGGGTCGGCCAGCCCCCGGGAAACCCTTTATTAGGTCAGCCTAGGGAAGGCCAGGGAGGAAGGACCAGCTCTTCCCCAAGAGATCCTAGGAGAAGGATCGACTGATCAGCCAACCAGGGTAGGGTTGCCAGCTCTGGGTTGGGAAATACCTGGAGATTTTGGGGGTGGAGCTCTGAGAGGGTGACTCGTTGCCATATAATGCCATAGAGTCAGTGGTCATTTTGGGGGGGCGCCATCCCCCCGGGTGAGGTGCGGGAGGGCAGGGCCTGGAGCTCCCTGCTGGTGCCTGCTGGAGGTCGCCGCCGGCTGTGGGGAGGACACACTTCCGGTGATGTCAGGGGGTGTGGCATATGCTAATGAGTTATGCTAATGAGTCCCCCTAGCTCTTTTTCTACGAAATGACCCCTGCATAGAGTCCACCCTCCAAAGCAGTCATTTTCTCCAGGGGAACTGGTCTTGGTTGCCTGGAGATCATTTCTAATAGAGGGAGATCTCCAGTTGTCACCTGAAAGTTGGCAACCCTAGACCAGGGTGAAATGAAAACCTCTTTCCTCCCACTATTCTGAGGCTCCTCCTGGGACAAGGGCTAAAACAAGGCAATACTGGAGGGCAATGCATACCTGGACTGAGTCCCACTTCCAGCGGAGTCTAACAGGAAGTCAGTTGTTTTTGTTTTTTTCAAACTTTGTTTTTACAATGGTCCATTATGACTTCCAGAAAAGTAAAAGGAAGGATTCATACCTTACATTCCAGCTGCAAAGTATAATTTTAGGCCATTTCTAATGTCATGTTTTTCTGTTCTTCACATCAGGCTGTATTCCATACTAGAGCCATGAGATCCACTGACAGCACCCTGATCTGACTAGCCCTTTCCTAAATTTCATTTCTTGGTCACACTAGTGTGTGACAGGAACCAGAACATGACATGCATTCAGCTATTATGGTTAGGTCCCCCTGGTCCCCCTCCTCCTGCAAATCAGCTCTGACTCCAAACTACTCCAGACATGCACGGCGCTCACTGTTACTGGCTTTCCAGCTTACCTAATCACTAAGTTCACAGGCAGGGGGGATCCATTGACGTTGAACTGGAACTCTTCAGAGAACTCTCCCAGGATGGTGGAGCTGAAGGTGATCTGAATGGCTTGATGGTCCCCGGGCTGGATGATACCTTCACTGGGCTGAAAACTAAAGCAGGAGCCCAGGGGGGTGGGCGAGCACGTCAGGCTAAAAAGGGCATCAATAGTTCCATGGTTGAACAGAATGGCCTGCAGCAGAAAAGGGAGAAAGAAGGTAAGAACAGGAAGGAATGGTCTCTTACCTCAAAAGCAGAACTGCTTAAGGTTTCCCAATTAAATCCAAGGAACAAAGTGGTGATGCTGGCTGGAAATGTTTCTGTTCCAAGCAAAAATGTTTCTATTCCAAGCAATACACATGCAGAATCACCCTACAGACTTTTTAGATCACTGAAACTGAGTTGGGACGTTGTTAGTGCAGTACAGATGTCACATTTCTTTTATTAAAACATTTATGCCCTGCGTTTCCTCTTGGTTCAAGGCAGCTTACAGTACATTCATTCTGTAGCAGCAACAGCAAAGAGTATACATCTTGTGATTCCTCTCACTGGATCTGAACTTGCCAGGTGTTTTGGAGAATTGTTGCCCTGCAAGGAGCTTATAACGCTCTCATGGACTTATGAATAACTGGATTGTGCAATAAGTGTGCCAAGGGAAATGGATTGTGTGGTGACCACGTGCTGATGCCAACTACATGGACTGTGAACACGCGCCCAGCTGTGGGAAGTCTCTTCCTGAGATAATGTGCCAGACCAAGAGTGGATCCATGGGTTACCTGCCACCCCTCACCAGCAACGCAGCAGAGATGAGCCAAGCACCCTAGCCACGAAAAGCACATAGAAACCAGTAACCATTTACTATAGAGGAATGCCATATTGTAAACATGAATATGTTGGGAAACATCCAAAGCGCAAGATAGATCATTAATGTACCTTACTACTCTGAATGTGTAGTGTGTAGTTTTGTAGCTTATAGTGAAAAGCAATAAAAATGATTAAAAAAGGGAATGCCATGCTATGCAAAGGAGACCTGAGAATCTGAACAGAAACTCCATGAGCAGACATCTCCTCTAACACGAAGGCGCCTTCCCCCCACCTTCGCCAGATGCTGCAAGCAGGCTCTCCATCATAACGAAATAACTGCTTCCATAAAGTGATTAGCTGGCTGACTCACACATACTGGCTAAACCCATCACCTAGAGCCATCAATGGACCATCAAAGACAATGACTCTGGTTGCTTCAGCCATTGTCCTACAAAGGTGCCACTGTTAAAGTAAATAGAGGCAACATTGCCCAACCATTAAAGCCTCCATCCTTCTGAAACCAGGGTTATTTTTAAGCAACTTCCTGGGGACGGGGCTGGGGGGGACGTGACTAGAGAACACACACATCTCAGCCCAAATAAAGTGTAAAAAGAGAGAGGTTAGTCTTCACTCTCTCTCTTACTTCCTCTCTACCTGACCACATCCTACCTTGCTGACTTTTGGTTTAAGCGCTGCACAGAGTCTATCACGTGCTCTGCTGGTTCAGAACATGACCCCTTCCCTTATAGTCTCCCTCATTTTTCTGCTGCAGGATCGCTTCATCTCGCTGGACAGGTCAGTATTAACCCACCAACGATCTCCTGCTAATGTGAATGTCGCTGTACCTTTTCAGTCTATTTTTCCTAGTTCTGTATTGTTTTGTGTGTGCCTGAGATTTATTGTGTGTGTGCAAACTTTCCAGTAAAGAAACCATTTCTTTTAAGATCTGGTCTCTGTGTCTAATTTCTGGTGTTCCGGAATAAGCAGGGCTCCTGTATACACAGGTTATTGCTCCCTTAGCAGCCTATTGCCATTTAATAACTATAATTCCCAATTTTAATAAAGAAATAAGGCAATTTGGCTAACAGAATCTACATTTCTTTCCTGGTGCCCCGAGATGCATGTGACAAAGAAGCTGAGGTGTTGTTTAGCACCAACAAAGGGCAGCGTTCAGTCATTCCAATTTGTCTCTAGCCAAGGAAAATAATACTGATACAGAGGGAAGCAATACGGTTTTTGTTGTGTATTGAGAAGTTCAAATGAACAAGCATTGTTAGAGAGGCTCCTAGCAGCTACATTCAGATTGGCTGCCCTTGCAGAGCAGGCCAGTCAGGTAGCAGAAGTGTAAGTGATGCCATGCAAATGAAGGCTCCTAGCTACTGTGTTCTTATTGATTTATTTGTATTTTGTGGGTGTGTTTGGGACTAGGGGTTTTGTATATAATTGCGGCTCACCGCATATGTTGTTGTTCTTAATGTTACAGAAATAAAGAGCTACGCTGAAATCACGATAGCCTCTTGAACCCACTATTTACAGTTTTTATATCAGTTTTAGCATCAAACATGAATGATGTGCCAATGCTTGTTCTAAGGAGACATTTCAGTGCTTTCTTCTTGGCCGCAACCAGCTCTTTTTCAAAAATGTCCCAGATGGTGGAGATCTTTTGCAGAAACTCTGGATTGCTTTCAGAACTGGACACTTTCACCCAGTCCACAAGTTCACATGGTTCTGGGTTGCTGTGGCTATGCTATAATTTTCTCTCAACATTTAAAGAGAAATATTTGAACCTGGAAAAAGTTAGATGTGCTGCTTTCTTGCCAGAGAGACTGCTTTGTGGGATGGAGCAGGAGTCACCAGCACTTTTTGGATGTTGCCCATGACACTGTGCATCACAAAACCATTAAAGGGCAAATAGACAAATGGGTACCTGCTCTTAGAGCAGGGGGGGCACCCGTCCCGTGTAGTGTAGCGGTGGCGTGAGCGGCGGCGGCAGCGTAGAAAACATGGCGGTGGCTAGCGAGGCAATGCGAGTGAGAGGAGGCTGGGCCGGCAAAGCGCAGAGGCGGGGCGACGCAGCAGGCCGGAGCCTACTGGACAGAGGCTGGCAGCGAGCATGCGCGGACATGCGCTCAGTCCAAGCCCGAAGGAGTCGCAACAGCCGGAAAGTCGCAAAAAATCAAAGACCAGTGCCAGGAGGACGTAATCGAACAAGCTCCCGCAGACAACAACGACTCGCTACAGGGTGCCTGGTAGGCTAGTCACTCTCCCCCATGTATGTATGTGGCCCTAGGTTAGGATTGGCATTAATGGAACATGTAAACTGCTCAGAGCCCTCAGGGGGTGAGTGGTATATAAATTGAAGGAAATAAATAAATAAATTCCTTCCCTTGTACATAGCCATTTTACGATATGCTCTGCTATTGTCTAAATCAGGTGTCCCCAACCTTTCCAGACCTGTGGGCACCTTTGGAATTCTGACACTACATGGTGGGTGCAGCCACAAAATTGATGCCACTAGAGGTGGAGCCAGCCACAAAATGATTGCTGCAGCTTAACTTCAGTCATGCAGTTAAGATCGTTGTGCTGTGGTGGCAGCTGCCACCAAAGGAACATTTTAAACATCTGCACAGCCAATTGGATTTCCAATAGCCAATCAGAAGCCTTGCTAGGCAAAAGCCCCACTCACTTTCTAAAAGATTTTGGTGGATACCAGAAAAAGCATTGGTGGGCACCAACATGTACACATTGGGGACTCTTGGTCTAAATCTTTTGTTCACTTTTTAAAAAGTTCTTTGTATGCGGAGCACTGTCCCATGAGGTATACACATCTAGTCAAATCAAAAAATGTAAACGTATTCTCTCTGTGTGTGTGTGTGTAGGAATTACTGTAAGTCCCATCTATAACAGTATATGGTGCAGGAATGTTGGCTTGGATCATGTAAAAAAGGAGTAATTCAGCAAGGAATGCAGTTTTAAGGTAGAGAAAATAGCAAGGATCAGGCAGCAGAAAAAAGTCAAGACTTATAAAAGCCCACAGGACAAATAGTACTCTTCCACCTCTTGGCTCAGTGAAGGCTATCTTAATTGGGTTTATACAAATTGGCTAGGCCAATCTCGTTGGATCTTGGAAGCTAAGCAGGGTTGGCCCCGGTTAATACTTGGATGGGAGACACCTGAGGAAGTCCAAGGTTGCTACGCAGAGGCCGGGAATGGCACAACACTTCTGTTCATCTTGCCTTGTAACCCCTACAGGGCTGGTGTAAATCAACTGCTACTTGACAGCCCTTTCCGCTGCCACCACTGCTGATGCTATGAGCCAGTACAGCACAGTTGATAAAAGGTGGAGCTTAGGACCCAGAGACCCAAGTTCACTGCTAAGCAAGTTACTTTCTCTCAGCCCAGTGTGTCTCCACACATTGTGGAGAGGATAAAACAGAGATTCTACAAAGGTGGAATCAGCTGCCTAGGGAGGTGGTTAGCTCCCCTTCACCGACAGCTTTCAAGAAGAGGCTGGACGAATATTTGTCAGAGATGATTTAGGCTGATCCTGCATGGGGCAGGGGGTTGGACTAGATGGTCTGTATGGCCCCTTCCAACGCTATGATCCTATACAGGTTATTAGCCCTGGGTTCAACACTGTTGAGGAGCAGGTTTTTTCTTCCCGTTCCCCAGAGCATGATGATGCATTTCCTTGGCTTTGCATTGATCTTTCCAAAACCTGCTTTGCTGCAAACTCTTGAGAAAGAAAGCAGGAAAACCTGAACAGCAAACACATGTGTGGGAAAGTTCAGATTCTCCTGGTCCCACCAACACAGCAGCCATTTTCCCCACCCCCACAGAATAGCAATATTTCGATCAGTTTCTCTGAATTTCTAGCTTTAATTTTTTAAGTCTCTAGCCTCTTTCAGTATGGCGATATAAGGACAAAGTCATATCTTTGCAATGAGAGAAGATAGAGACTTACTTTTTTTCAAAAATGAAAGCTAGGAATTGAGGGGGGAAACCGGAGAAAACCACTATTATAATGTTATAACAATACAATGATGTTCAATTTGCAGATTTTAAAAAGAATTTTAAAAGCCCCAGTGGTGGAGAGGTGGCACTGTGGAGAGACTTGCCATGTGGAAGCCCTATTGCCACTGTGCTATATTGGCAGCTGCAGCAGCAACGAGGGAACCACATAAACCTATCCTTATGTGAAAACACCAGATTGTTCCCATAAGCTCCTCAGCAGGCCACAGATTTGATCCATAATAATGCTCACCTCATAACTGTGGACTGACCCAATGAAAATTTTGCCAATGTTCAGCTGGTCAAAGTTGAAAAGCAGCTTGGGACCCATGGCCTCTCCTTTGATGCGAAGAGGGAGTCTGTTCTCACGGCCTGCAAAGAAGACAACCCCTCATAAAGATTGTCACAAAACAGAATCACGAAACAGAGACCCACCGCTATAGGAAATTGCTGAGTTTTAACAAATTATATTTATCTTCTGTGATTGCCACCATAAATGTGGTTAAGGCGGCCCAATTAAACTTTATTTTCAGGCTATAACTGAAAAGCTTATCTTCTCTGTTTTAAATCTGGCTACTGATGTCTGAATGCTGCCGTTTCTTTATGTCTCACATCTTCAGTAGGATCCAGGGGATCCTTCCTGAGTTTAAAATTAGTGGATTTTTCTCAGTAGCTAAAGAGCTCTGCAATGCTTGGTCTTGACAGGTTAATTTGGCCCCACTTTGAGAGATATTATGCAAGCAGTGAAAATCCATCTGTTTTCCAAAGGTTTTCACTGATGTTTCTGAGCTATAACGCCCTGATTGTTTAAGCTGTCATTCTTGATCAAATACGTGAACTGGGTAGCCCAGTTTTTGTTGTTGTTTTTCTATAGCACTCTCTATTTTGTTCATCACAGTTTTAACCCTGTATTCAAGTTTTACAAAATTTTATTGTTTTTAACTGATCCAAGGCTGGCTTTGAACCATATTAAATCTTCTGATTCTATTTGTTGTTATTGTTCAGTCGCACAGTTGAGTCCGACTCTTCGCGACCCCATGGACCAGCTCCCGCCAGGCCCTCCTGTCTTCCGCCGTCCTCCGAAGTTGGCTCAATTTCATGTTCATTGCATCGATTACACTGTCTAACCATCTCATCCTTTGCCATCCCCGTCTTCTTTGACCTTCAATCTTTCCCAGCACTCTGAAATTATGAAAATAGCTAAGAAATCTAAAAAATGAAATAAAGCCTAAGGCTGCAGGTGCTCTCTCCCCCTTTTCTTTAAATTGTTGGTCTTTGTGTGGGATATACCCATCCAGGAAAAATGCTCTTATGTGAAGCAACATGCCCAGAAGTCCTAGGAGAATTTCCCTCTTGAGGGCCTGGACTAAGTATTCTTTGCTGCTGACTATGAGATAAGCATCTCTGCCCTGGACATAGGTGCTGTGTTGCTCAGCAATCTGTATTGTCTAGGGCACTGTCCTCTGAGGCAATTAAGGGTAGGGTTGTCAACCTCCAGGTGGTGGCTGGAGATCTCCCACTATTACAACTGATCTCCAGACAACAGAGATCAGTTAACCTGGAGTAAATGGCCACTTTGGAAGGTGGACTCTATGGCATTATACACCGTTGAAGTCCCTCCCCCTCCCAAACCCCACCATCCTCAGGCTCTGCCCCTAAAATATCCAGGTATTTCCCACCCTGGAGCTGGCAACCCTGATTAAGGGGGAAGACCCACAGGAGCTCATGGTGATCTATCAAGTTCAAAATTCATGACAGTTTGTTCATATCCTAGAATCTTGAGCTCAAAACATAGTTTTTGTTCTTTAAAGCTTAAAATAAAAACAGTGGTTTTGTAAAATAACAGAATTACCTTAATGACTTGATATGCAAAGACGGAAGGAGAGGAGGGAACATTTATTTAAAAAACATTCTCAATCAGGTAGACTCAGGCTATGGTTGTTTGGGTGTTGTGAAACACTCCTTTCTACTGCCATAGGGTGTGTTCAGATGGCTCTTTAGATCTGCGCGAGGCACGGGTGCCTCACAGCACCCATAATGTAATGTCCAGACATCAACATCTGGGAAACGTTCATCTTCCATGAGCATCCCGTTTTGCCACACTTCGGAGCCATGCTAAAAATATACTACTTTAAATCTGGAGTTTTCGGTTCCGACGTGCCACTTGCAGACTTTCTGTCTGATCGTTCCAACGCGCAATTAAAAATGGTGCCCGTTTGGGATGGTCTGACATCAGACCATCCCAAACGGATGCCATTTTTAAAAAATCCTAATTCTGCGCATGCGCAGTTAAACAAGGCCATGATATCACGCCTATGCATATGCGCAAAAAGTTTGTGGGTTTTTTTTTAAACCCACCGTGCCTCCTTCAGTGGACGCTGTTTAGACAATCCACAGCGGAAGCAGTGCACGGTAAGGCAATTCCCCCGGGGGATACCTGGTCATGCGAGGGCGGATTAAAAAGATCAGGATCAAATGTGAGCCGGCATAATAGCAGGATTAGCTGCCCCTCTGAACGTACCCAGTGACATGTATTTTTCATATGTGCATGTGTGTGTGTGTGTGTAAGTGAGTGTGTGCACACCTGGAAGTCATGGCGACCTCTGATGATTGACCCCTACTGGGGGCCTGGAGGATATTCAGAGAGGTGGCTGAATAGAGCCTGCCCCCTCTCCCACCTCTGGTACTCCAAGGAGGTCTCCCATCCAAGTACTTGCCAGAGTCAATCCTGCTTGGCTTCCAAGAACTGATGCGATCGGGCTTGCCTTGGGCTATCCAGGTCAGGGCAACTGCTACAGACGTGGATTAGCTTGGTGACATTTTACTACACCAAGAGTCCCACCTTAAGCAGACTTACAGCCCTCCATGCCAATTGATTTTGCTGGACTTTGAAAGGTGTAACTCTGCTTAGAATTGCACAGCAAGATACACTGGAATTTGGCTTGGGGCAGTTAAGTACACCCCAAATACAATCTGTGCAAGTTTTCTCATATTGTTGGCATGAGACTGGCCCTACGCTGTACATCTGGCTTTCCTCCGCTCCTAACCTAGCCCACTGGTGTCAGTGCAGGTGTCTCTCTTTTTATATATATACTTTTTATTGATTTTCTACTACAAACTACAAAACTATAAACTACAAAAGAGAGTAACAAGGTACTTTGATAAGCTATTCATACGCTTTGGATATTTATCTACATGTTTATGATTACATTCAATTACTTAAGTTCTAATAAAAGTATTCAAGGAGAAAGAACATAAAGGCTTATTGGTTATTATATCGCATCTGGATAAAAATATACAATCATTAAATGAGAGCATAGGCAATCTCAGTTCTTCACTTAGGTTTCTTCTTATCTTTGCTTTTCTTCTTCTTTTGCCAGGGGAGATTCACTTTAAAAGTTTTGGGAGCCAGAATCAGAGTCAGAGTCGAAGATTTCACCTGTGCAGGTGTCTCTTAGCAATCCCACTCACGGACAGCTGGAGTGCAAACAGTGAAATTCAGAGTTTGCTTTTGTCCCTGCATTGGGGGGGATCCTGATGAAATGGCAGACCTCCCTGTTGATAACAACTGAGCTTGTCTATATGGGGACTTGAAGATGAAAGGATAAAATCTGGTGTGCCCTCCAGGGAAGCATCCCCCCCGCCTCTAGGTTTTGAGTGAGAACATCACTGCATGCTTCATCAAAGCTTAACTCCCGCTGCATTCTAATTTGTAGTCTGTCTGTCGCACACTGAACAGCCTTCACCTACAGAATACAAATGCCCGGGGAAGTACTTTTTTTATTTACAGAGAACTGCATGGGGTTTGCTTTGTAACGGCCTCCTGTTGTAATTACCACAGATCCATACTAACACCTTGCAGTTGTGGCTAGTAGCTGCAAGAGCTGGCCCTGATTCCCTCCATGTAGGGTTTTTTCCCTGGGGAAACACGCCAAAATGGAGTTCCAAAACCTCTTTGACAAAATTCTTTTTAAAACGTTTAAAAGCTCATGAGTTTTCAGTGTACAGATTGAAAAGTTCATTTCCCTCTTGAGAGTTCTGGCACCTCTCCCCCCCCCCCAAAGCACAAGCGCCCTGCCTCCCTGCCTCCATGGCAGGAGTAATTCTTTGAACACTTTCCTCATAAAGCGTCCATGTTGCTTGACCTGGGATGGTGTTGGAGGCACCCTCACTGGGCAGCTGCCAGGGCCCGTGGTGGGGGGGGGCGCGTCAGTGGCCTCAACTCTACCTCATGCAGCATTATGCCCTGCCCTCTTCCTCATCACAGAGGTAAAAACCTCTGTATACCAGTGCGTGAGGCGGCAGCAGGGGAATGCCTCAGCCTCTGTGACATGTTGTTGGTCTTCCAAAGTAATTGTTTGGCCACTGTGAGAAACAGGATGCTGCACTAGATCGACTACCAGTCTAATCCAGCAGGGCTCTTGTGATGCTCTTATGTTAAGCAGTGACTAGACTGGGAATGTCCTGACCTAGATGGCCCAGGCTAGCCTGATCTCAGAAGCTGAGCAGGGTTGCTACGCAGGGGCAGGCAATGGCAAGCCACCTCTGGATGTGTCCTGCCTTGCAAACCCTACAGGGTTGCCACAAGTTGGCTGTGATTTGATGGCCAAAAAAAAAGAAAAAAAGGACTGGGCACCCCTAAGGGACTGGGCCCTTCTCGTCCTCTTGCGCTCTGGACTGCCTCTGCTGTGGTGCCTCTCTGGTGGTCACAGGGTTCCTCTTCAGAGCAGAAGGCAAGACAGAGGCTGGCTGCCATCTCCATCTCATCTCCCCTCCTGCTGCATGAGTGAGCAGCCACTGCCTCCCCTTTTTCCGCTCGCCTGCTCCAGCTTCCTTCCCGCTGGGCAGCAGCTGTGGTGAGAGACTCCCCCCCCTTCTCTATTTGAACAGGATCTCCTTGTGATGGGTTTCCATGGGGATTCCATCAGTCCTTCCAGACTATTAGACCTGTGGCATAGTATTAGCTAACATGTTTCTCCAGCATCTTGAACACTAATGACAGGGATTTTTACTGAACAGCTTGCAATTCAGTGCTTCACTGAGGGTCATGCACTCTCTCTCACTCACCCCTCTCTGGAGGCCAATGTACCTTTTCAAGAATGGGCATTCTTATACCATTCCACTGTCCTCTTGAGAGATAACAGAGTGTCAGGGAAGTTGAAGGTACCCTTTTGGGCCACCCATATTTCTGCTCCCCAATCAACCTTTCCTCTATTTGTATATTTTTATTCTGCCCATCCTCCAAGGTAGTCTGGTGCATTTCCTTTTTACCTTCACAGTACTGTGGTGAGGTAGGATAGTCTGAGGGAGACTGAGTAGAGATCTGAACTCAAGTCTCTTTGTTCTTAGTCTAACACTCTGGCCACGGCACC